AAGAGATATTTTAAAGTTTTGTTTTTCGTAAATAGGGTCACCTACTGTCACTTTAGGACACAACAAATAGTTAATACACCGTGCATCTGTGCTTACCTTTTATCGATTTAGAGGTCAGTCGATAATACAAGTAACTTCGAAAAATCTTATCTTATGCAAAGTTTAAAAAAACATTGGCCAAGCTAAAACCAATATTATGGAGAGCATATAAAGTGATTCTTGTTGAACAAAGTTCAAAACACATTGGCAATCATCATTATCATCATCAGTCGTCCACTGCTGGACATAGGCCTCCCCAATTGCACACCACTAAGCTCGATGTTTAGCTCTTCTCATCCAATAGTAATCTCAACACATTGGCAATATTATGGAGAGCACATTAAGTGACTCTTGTAGGAAATCTGGAGATTTGGAGGTTGGATGTCAAGAAATCAGACAAATACTGGGAAAGGCCAGGAATATTGTATTATTTACTCCTACTGGAAGTGACGAGAGTCATGCTTCGGCACAAGTGGGTCAGCTCGACCGGAGTATTACTACGGCCTCACAGACATCCGGCGTGAAACAACCACAGCGTTGTGTTTCGCCGTGTGAGTGAGGTTACCGGAGGCCCAATTCTTCTCCTCCCCCAATCCTTAAATCTCCAAATCCCTAAATCTCCAGATCCCTAATCCCCAAAAGGTATAGCACTCGTAGCTCCACATTTGTTGCGGATGCTCGTGCGCGGCGCTGATTGCTCACCATCAGGTAATCCGTCTGCTCGTTTGCCGACCTATAACATAAAAAACTGGCTTTCCAAGGACAGTTAATGGTAGTTCACATCTTAAGATACAGCTATTTTCTAAATTATATGGTAGAATGCGATGAATTGAAAAAGGAAAGTAAATTTTATTTTTTATTTATATCGTTGCCCCACAAAACGGTTTTCTCCTGTGTCATAGGTGCATTTACAAACATACAAATCCACATACACAAGCCACCCAGACCCGAAACAAAGTGTTAGTAGTTCCGTGCGAAAATCGTAGCCTCGACACGTTGCACAGCAGCCCCTTTCAGAACCCAGCCCCTGGCAAACCATATTTTACATGTAATATTTATTTACCTTACTAGAGTAATTTAAACTAAGATCGGATCTTATTCTTTCTTAACTACCTAGCCGGATTAATAAAAAGTAACTGGTGATAACCCCAGTGTATAGGTATACTTATGACAAACAAGCAATTAACTGCTTAAAATTGATATATCTGTTGCAACTGTCCAAATAATTATATCTTTCAAGTTCAAAGTTGTTACTATTCGATTATAGATTATTGTTTCGTAAAATCTTCCAGGCCTTATCGAGCGTTGAGAATATACTAGAACAATATAGAAGACAGCTAAAATAATAGTATTTCTTTTTACAGAAATAAATGGTTTTATTACTGTAGACTTGTGCCCGATTAGTTTCTAATCACAAGCCAAAATCTTTGTATTAAGTTTGATTGTAGTAATTCATCATCGTCACCAGCATCAGTGGGAAGATGTCCAATGCTGAACAAAGAGTTTCATGGATTTTATTATGGAATAGGTTGACAAACTAACAGACTGATATATACATACACTTAGACTGCACAGTTGCAGCGGTGGCTAGACAACTGGATGCACCGAAACTTTTCGTGTTCGTTTCTCGCACAGAACAACCCTTTGTGTAGGTGAAATTGTACCCAATTGTTGTATTGTATTGCAAGTGTGGGAGAGCCATGCTTTGGCACGAATGGGTCGGCTCGACCGGAGTGATACGACGGCCTCACTGAAAACCGGAGTGAAAATACCACAGCGTTGTCTTTCGCCGTGTGAGTGAGGTTACCGTAGGCCCAATCCTTCCCCTCCCCCAATCCCTCCTCAATCCCGAAATCTCCAATTCCCTAATCCCTAAAAGGTCGGCAACGCACTCGTAACTCCTCCCTTGCGAGTGTAAATGGGCGGCGCTGATTGCTTACCATCAGGTAATCCGTCTGCTTGTTTGCCGACTACATAAAAAAAACTTTTGTAAACGCACCCATAAAACAGAAGAAAATCCAAGTGTAGGGCAACCGTGGGCAAAGTTTATTTAAAAAAAAAGAATAATTTGGTATCAGTCTTTAGCACCAACCACACAATTGAACAACATTAATACAATAACAACTGCTACAACTACCTTGCAGGCCTTCTCAGTTGTTATGGAAACCAAGAACTGAGAGAAAAAAGCATCAGTTTCCACTTCCGTTGATAATCCTTATAATTTACTAGCTAGTCGCTAGTTTCACGGGCTGCATGATTGTAGCATCATTAATAGCCTATGTAGGTAACACAAAAAAGCCGTTCGCGAGGAATAGTGACTTCCTGCAGATTTTTGTTCCAAGCTATGTCTGCACCAAATATTACAGAAATTGGTTCAGTAGTTTAGGCGTGAAAAGAAGACAGACAGACAGAGTTTCTTATTTATAATATTACTATAGATTATACAATAGTATTGATAAATTATAAACATACCTTCACTTTATAAAGTTGGCGTTTAGTGTCATTCATGGGGATATTTCATACTTCTTTAGCTTCTAGGTAAAACGTCGCTGATTGGGAGTAAGAATAAATACCCTAGCGAACTCTAGCTTTTTAAAAAATATCTCTTATGAAGAGCACCTAATTATAATTTATTTTCAATTTATTTATTTATTTGTTTTTGGTATTTAGCTGATAATTGATTTTAAAAAAATCTTTTCAGGTTGTGTTCCTTATCGTTTGTATTTCGTTTATGTTATGTTAAAATTAAAAAACTAATTAATTTGCAAAGTCAGACCAATGCGCTAGTTTCAATACTTCTATCCAAATGTCTAAAACGATACTTTTCTTTGTATGAAAATTTAAATTATGACGTCACAGTATTTTTAAGTCAAATAGCTTACTTATTTTTAAAAAAATGTCTACAACTATCGATGAATAGAAGTATTAGTCGTAGTATTTATTTTTCAATATTTCATTGTATTGAAACGTTAAATTAATTTATTTCTGACCTAGGAAATTACCTAATTGTATATAACTTAACCATTAGTTCAGTATTACGAATAATGTTGACCGTCTAATCAACAGATTATGTAGCGACATCTACCCGACTATAGTGGAAATTCCAGTCCTAACGTGATCTCTGCTTTGAGTCACAGATGGCGCTATACACACATACAGTACAATAAATATGACACTCAAAACTAGATGGAGCTACTTGTATTTCACATGATGCTACGAGTACTATTATTATATATCAAAAATAACTTTAGTAAAGCTTATTTTAAATTAATTATTGTTAAACACATAGTAACAAGTTTTGGTTGTGTGTTTTGAAAATTTCAAAATGAGCTTTAAAGCTTTCTCTAACCCAAAATTCTAACCTGATCCCTAATTATTATAAACAGAGTTAATACGGATAGCATACTCATAAAATTAGTAAATTCGATACATATTTTCTATGTTTTTTTTTTATTTAATTTTGTAGCTATCTATATTGAGCATATGATCAATAAATAAGTACTCAAACCACTCCTTAGTAACGATTAAAATAATTGCCAAAAACTGGAAATTATAATACGTACCTATAATTAATACGTAAACAGCTGATGCATTTAATAGACAAACCTAATAAAATATGTTAAAAAAGTAAAATAAAACAACTGCTGCATTCTTTATGAAGAGAATGTTAGGTATATTTCATTTACTTAGGTATTAGAATCTGTGTTCCATTTAAACATTTTACAATTATAATGAATAAAAGAGCGTATGATTATACTCCATGATATACAAATTACTTTAGTAACCACACACCTACTGGTTACAAGTAAACCGACTGTGAATAATAATGTAAGTATGCTTTTTGGCTACGTCTTTGGAAAATAATACCCCTGAAACTACTAAACTTGTGTCTCTTATTTGTTCAATAAACTCTATGCACATAATCGAGTATATAGACGAACTCATTCATACACCATCCAGTGGATGGCGTAAGAATCAACTAAGAGACTGCAAATTTGACAGAAAAAGTTAATCAGCTAACTACCATGGCTTCCAAACAACCTAAAAAATCTCAACATAAAATTTTCTAAAACATAAAAGTCTTTCATAAGGATTTTTTTTTGAAATATTCATAAACAAATGTTATTATTTATAGTACTAAAGTTATTCTTGATGACACGAACATTGTTATAGAGACATAATAGAGAATACTATAAGCAGATATTAAGCCTAATATGTGTATACCGTAGAAAGTGTGAGAGTCTTTTCGACCTAAAATACCCATTAGTACTAGATTTTGATGATTAAGTTTTCTATCTTTTTTCGTGGATTTTCTTGCCAATTATTTTAAAGAGGCTCAAAATCCAATAATTATAGTCTCTACAACCGGTTCACTTCTGTTTTTAAGATAGTCACAATATATTAATAACGACTAGATATTCTGAAATGGTGAAAGTAGGAAATAAAAATCCCTCATTTGTTTTAAATACTTTATTACAACAATAAATATTATAACATTATATAATTATATATATTATGAGTTTATCTGGAACTGAGATCTATCTAGCTGACTAAAAAAGTAACTGAGTTATAGTTTGCAAAATACAGGAATATTTATAATAAAGTAATCTGCTATGAAAATGATCAGAATCTATCTTAGGTGGGCAATAAAATGTTAATATTACTACATTGATCGTCATACTATATTTCACTACATAACTATAATATAATATACAAATATCTAGAAACATATCAACAATAAATACTTACATATAGTACATAAATATATAATATATAATAGGAATATATTCTTGAACATCTGACGCCAAATGATGTAGTCGTTTGTACACAGAAAGATGATATAGATACTGCCAAATTAAGTGCCCATAAGAAAGATAACCAAAAATCGGCATAGCACAGAAAGTACATTCTATTCAAAGAAAGAAACGATCAACATTTGGCATCAATTACCGAAGTGTTGCTCATTCCATGTGAGGAATGACAATCTCTGGAGTATGTTTATGATGGATCAAGACATCCTGGAAGTAAATGTTCTTGACACCTTCCACCTGCCAGGGGTAGAGAGGCCTGTTGACTGGGAAGCCAAGTGGGTCATCGGTCAGTTGACGAGCAACGATCGTAAGACCAAGAGACACCTTAGAAACATTGGTAGGCTCGCGAGGAACCTTGGGTGCGCGGTAGTCGGAAATGTAGACCATCAAAACGAAAGGCATGCCACCGACGCGTCCTGTGAAAATATAAACTCATCAGACTAACTCAAACACGTTAATAAAGTTATGTGACTTATTATCCTATTATTAATAGTAGATTTTCAAACGAATATGCGAAAAATATATTTTGTAAATACAAATTTTAAAAACATCTCATACCTTTAGGCAGTGTAAGATGTTGGACCAGCGACTCCATATTCTCGAGTTGTTCCATGTTGAATTGTTTATCACCCTGCAGGGATTTCTCAAAAGCGTAGTATACATTGTTGGCGGTGTCCCAGACTTTGCTGGTATCAACAGAGTCGCGAGCAATTACAGATTCTCCCGCGGGTACTAAAAAGTAAACAAAACAGTACTTAATGAACATAGACGATGACAGGCAAACAAAAGTTTTTGTAGCACCAATCTTAAATAAGTATTTCAAAAATATTTGTTTATAAAATGCTAAGTATGTCACTTTTCAAATGTATAATACCTACTAGATAAAAATAGCAAATAAACTTACAATCATGGACGAATTCATCGATTTGCAAGAAGTTGTGGGAGTTAACGTGGAGAGGAATCTCATAGCCGTGGCTGTCGTATTTGGGCGCCAAGAAGAACTTAACTAGAACGGTCTTAGCAACTTCACTCTTAACGTGTACTCGTACTTGGTATTTCTTGTGATTCAATCTTGGATGCTGTACCAACACGCTCACTTGATCGTATAATTCTTTGGCTGTAAAAAATAGAATCAAATATTAAGAAAAGGGAACTGAATATATTAACTTATCCAGATATATCAAAATGAAAATAAAAATAAAATACCTTCTTCTTCATTCATGTGCAAGAAAGAAGAAATGTTCAAATAGTTATACTCAAAGAATGACACCAGTTTATCAACGTCAACCTTCTCAATAGCCACTTGGGGCACAGCAAGCTGTTCACGCTTGTAGGGAGCAAGTTTCTCTTGCCACAATTGGAACAGTCCCAAGACACGCTTCCAGATCATGTAGAAAGCAGGATCACGTAGGGCAGTTTGGTAGTGCTCCAGTACAGAGGGAACGACCAAAGGCACAACGCTGAAAGTACAATTTTAACATAAAAAACAGAAACAAATAAGTTTCACATAAAAAACATAAAATTGATTATAAAACTCACTGGTGGTGATACTGATGTTCGTGGACAATAGAATTACCCAAAACCTTTTTCCATAGGCTGATGAAGTCATTGTAGTATTTAAGATTTGGCGAATCAACGTTTGCTTCAATTACGCTGCCCAGGATTTCAATAGCCTCAGGAGAGCTGATGTCAATACGTTCACCGAGATGCTACAAAAAATAATAATTTAGGAAAGGTGCTTAAAAAAAATTTATTCTAAACATGAGGTAAATTACTTACGTTAAGTACGTAACCCTGTTCGATGGCGTCACGAACACGACGTTCATAATCGTCAATTTTTTGCAAAGCATGAACCAACACAGGCCTGTCTAGGTGGTAGTAATCGGGTCTCACTGGGAAAGCAATGCCATTGTGGTACAAGAGACCTGGGTTGTACCCTTCCTTAACAATGTTGTGTCCAAGTTCAGGGACCTCACCAAGACCATTGGACAGCCTTTCCATGTAATAACGAGCAACTATCTGCTTGTGTACGAACCAGAACCATTCTCCACGTCGTCCTTTGTGCAATGGAAGAACTTCGCCATGCAGCCAACTGGGTTGAGCAAGATGGTAGTTGTAGTAATATGTGTTAAGACCAAAGTCATTGGTAAAATAGGCAACAGGGGTGCTGTGGTCATTGGAGTAAGGCCAAATAGTGGCATTCCATCTAATGACTACGTTGTGGTCCCATTTGTAGGTAGAAGGGTAGGATTCAACCAAACGATGTCCATGTGTGTTTATCCTTTGTGCCGTCGTAAGGATTTCTCCGTTATTGTAGTAAGATGGGAAGACCTCGTGCAAACGGGGAATGTAAATTCCTTGCGTGTCTGGGCGGTTCACAATTGCAACACCGAGCACATAAGCAAAGAGATGTTCGTTGACACGCTCCCTAAGGTATACGGCTGTCTTGTAGAAAGAATCATAGTCCTTAGCAGAGTACAACACATTGTAAAGAGTGACTGCTTCAAACTTGTGCGCGCTTTCAAGAAGGGAGAAAGGTACAGCACGAGGAAGTACCCATTTATGCTCCAACATTTCTATGTAAGTGGTCACAGCAGTTACATTCTGAAACGAACAATTAGATTGTTAATAATAAAATCAACTTTTATTGTTTTTTTCGTTATGTTGGTTTTTATTTTACTTACGCTGAAGTGTTCGATGTTCTTTTCGAGACTCCAGGACTTTGAAATTTGCTTCCAAGATTCGGGATGATTAGGTTCATGGAGATGGAAGAACAAGATCATCAAATCAACTTGGCGTTGCAGGAAAACTGGATCCGCTAGAAAGTTGATAAATTTAATAAAATATTAAAAGTGCCCCAGTTTTAAGTAAATTTAGTTTAATAAACTGAACACAATCTAGAAAATTTCAGTTCGTCTACAAAAATATTATTGTAATTGTCGGTTTTCAGATCTACTTTATCTACTTAAAATATCTACTATTTATTTCAATTTCTTTGTAATACCAGTTAATAAAAAATCATCCAAATTTAAAAACCATTTAAATATATATTATTAAGAAATCTTCTAAAGCCACTTATTATAAATTTTTCTCTCATTATCATAATCGGATTCAGTTTCTCCGTTAAATTGGCTACAAATATTTAGCTAAGGACCCAAACCAGAGTGTCTTATTACAGACAAGAAAAATTGGCAATGAGTAGCATTATTGGTATATTTTTTTTTTCGTGATTCTGAATTAAACTCCCTAATCGAATTTGACTTAGATGATATTTTATAGACACATTTTTATAATATTTTGTTAAATTAATACTTTGCCAAAATTGCTGTCATAAAAGGAGTAAAAATTGACATATAAGATCCATCAAAAATGTATACAGCATATTGGTTGGTACATGATTCAAATATCATAAGAAAATAAAAGGGTAAATTAAGAAAAAAATTGACTTACCAACTTTCGGTGAGACATTGGACCGATCGGGACTCGAGAGAGCCCCGGCCACCAGGAGAGCCAGTACACACAACGCCAATCGAGCCATGTTCGCCAGTGACAATGCATCAGCTGCACAACATATTTATAGGCCCTTTTTATCACAGGTCACCTATTAACTATACAGTTATCAGTTATAGTAAAAGTATGATAAATTTCACGTAGGTACTCGTAGGTAATAACTTACTTTGCTATTAAAAACAAAACAAAGATAAGAGTGCATCAATTTCTTTTTCATTGTCTTTTAAGTACATTTTGTTGAAGACCGTTCGTTGTGGTACTTTGTTCACAGTTTTGCGCTCAAACAATTCTCTCTTGATGGAGCCGGAGTCACGAACTTAAGCCATAAGGTCCAACAATAGGTAATTGACGACAACTCCTATGGTTTGAACATTGATGCAGAAACAATAAGTGGTCAGGTGCAGTGTTCAATTTATAATACAACTTCATATTTTGTTGTTTAGTTTCTAGTGGTTTTACTATCGTTTGCATTGCATAAAAGGGATTTTAATAATAGCTAGTTGATACTCCTGGATGTGCTGTAAACCGTAGGTACCTACATGATCTCATGGTGACCAACTGTTACTGGGATTTTTATTTTTAAATGATTTCTCACAATTTGGTTGTGTGTAAAAAATACATCATATACCAATGTGCGATATCCTCTCTTTATGCTTTATCCTATACAAAGTAACAATTTCCATATATAAGGTACCTATTCAAAGTAATATCGAGTAAGACATACAATTACGACAATATGTAAACGTAATAAACCATTCTAATACATTAGGCTAAATAATGAAATTGATTGTATTGTGACACTGCTAATCAATAAGTTATCTTCTAATTAAAACAATAGACACTCGCAATAGGGGTGTGGCGGGCGTGTGTATAGGGGAGTCTGTGGGCTTTACAGATCGTCAGTGTCCAAAATAATATTCAAGAGATACACATATCTACGTAAATAGTATGTAGTACTATCTCTATGTATTAGTATAGGATGGATTTTATAGGTTCACACTTCAATATAAAAGTTGAAGAATAACAGTATAATTTTCAGTTACAATTCAACAAAAAGTTTAGTACGTATTACATTTGTAATTTGGATGGTTGATGCCCGACTGGTGAAGAGGAGATATCGTTGGGCGGATTGAGGTCATTAATCTCAAGTCCTATTATCACGAAGGACTTGAAATTTTAATGGTGAAACTGAGTTTTTATATACGAGTAATGTATGTAAATTTGTTTATAATACTTATATACTAGCTGATACTGCTACCCGCTATTCAGCTCTTACTTGTCTTATTGTGATATTGTAGTCAGCCTGAATAGTAATTGTCGCTTAATGGACTACCCAATGCAAAACAAAAAAAATCGATTCAGAACATTAGTTCCTGAAATAAGAGCGTTGAACACCCAAACAAACTTCTCAGTTTAATAATGTTAATTATATAATATGAAAATAAAATTAGTATAGAATAGGTTAAATATAATAGTATAGTGGTGTTTAATTCTTCATACCCATATTGTGTATTGGTGTATTATTTCTAAAACCATATAAAACCTTTTTAAACTTTTACTTTGATTATTTTTTTACTCCAAATAGGTAAGCAAACTTTCCTAACCAGTAAAAATATGCTTGGACACAAATTTTGTTATTCAAATGTAACACATACCTATTAAAATTTTTACTTAATATTCCAACCGCGTATGGATAGGAACAACAATGTAAAATCACGCGATTGTTTGCCGGGCTAGCTCGTACTTCGTCAAGGGCAAAATGTAACACTATTCTCTTTAAAATTCAATTATAGGAGCTAGTTCTGTCTTTGTTGACCGATACACGTTTTGTACCTAACTCAATATCCACATGATAACAAATGTAACCATGAAAACAATGATTTTAGGGTTACATTTAGTTCTTATACCGCCTTTTATTCACTTGGTAGCCTTTTTTTTCAGACCTGGGTGGAGAGAGACAATGACAGACTCTTACTTACACTCCATATCTTTATGGTTTTTTTCGCAATAAAGGTGGCAGAAGGAAGCAAGTCATTTTGGCTGTTTTTTTTATGTAATAAGTCGGCAAACGAGAAGACTGTTACCTGATGGTAAGCAATCAGCACCACCCATGGACACCCGCAACGGAGGAGTTCCAAGTGCATCGCCAACCTTTTAGGGATAAGGGATTTGGAGATTAAGGGATTGGGGAAGGGTCGGGGGGGGGGTGAAGGATTGGGCCTCCAGTAACCTCACTCACACGGCGAAACACAACGCTGTGGTTGTTTCACGCCGGTTTTCTGTAAGGCCGTGGTATCACTCCGGTCGAGCCTACCCATTCGTGCCGAAGCATGGCTCTCCCACACTTTGATAGTGTGGTTGGTAAGTGTGAAGTTAAGCGACTTTTCTCGATTTTTTGTAGTGATATTTTTTTTTAATTTTCGTTTTCCCACATTAGTGTTTTCTCCTGTGTCGTGGGTGCGGTTACAAACATACAACTTCACATACACATAACACCCAGACCCGGAACAACAATTTATGGATCACACAAAGAGTTGATCCGTACGGGCATCGAACCCGCGACACGTTACACGGCAACACTCCACTCTAGTTTATAAAAGTAGAAATTTAGAGTTCGATTACGAATTTTGCGTATGCCATGTACTGCTTAAAGTTTTTAATGTACTGCTTGCCTCTGAAAATTGGGAAAAAAATGTTAGTAAAATCTATAAAAAATATTATGATATTTAGTTACTTAGTATTTTTTAGCCATGAAATTAGTATTAACATTTCACGGGTATGACTTTCTGATGACATAATTCTATACGATAACTTCGCAATAATAATATTTTGTTTGAATTGTTATCTGACACTCTCTGGTGGTATTTGTTTACAAATACTGTTGGCGAATTGTTTGTATATTTGTATCGTTACCAAAATTTAATAATCTTTTTCCTCCATTTGATTCGCATTAGATAGATAGACCTGATAACATGTAATCCTCGATATTCATGGACACCCGCAACCCCAAAGAAGTTATAAGTGCGTTGCTGGCCTGTAGTAGGCTGTTAGCGAGTTTATGATTGGGGAAGGGGGGAGGATTAGGAACACCTTCACCTCCCCCACACTGAGAAAGTCAGCGCAAGCGTTGTTTCACGCCCCTATTCTTTGACGCCCGTATTCGTAGTATCACTCCGGTCGTGTCAACATAAGACATAAAGTTCTTCTTTTTCATTAGAATTGGTTAAATATTTCATGGTGGTAATTACGTGCATGCACAAGGACTGAAAAGTCTTAATCAATATATTTTTATAGGTCCTTTTTGACTAAAGTATGTTAAAATAAATTTATCGAAAATGTCGGGAAATAAACTCCAATTTGAAACCGGGGCATGACACTAGTGTAATATTAAAAAACAAAGTAAAAGTCATCATTATCGTTGTTAATAGTTCGGTTAATAAATTGTTTAAACGGTCCATACTAATAAAATTAATGCGAAAGTAACTCTGTTAGTTTGTAACGCTTTCACGTAGAAAATACTGTTGTAGTTATTCTTATGAAATTAAATTCAGAGATAGTACTAAAAAGGGCAAGGAGCTATTAGTTTTTTGCAAAAAATATATAAAAAAATGTAAGATCGGTATTTATATTTTTACACAACATTACATTAAAAGTTACATTATCAAATGCTTATTATACATATGTAGGTAGTATATTTATTGAGAAAACTTCGAAAGGAGAAGGTAACAAAAGATTATTTTATCAATCATGAAAAGATAAAAAGTAAGCGAATACATGTATGACCAGGAAGTCATGAACAAAAAATATTTATTTCAAATAAATATTTTGTAGGTATAATTGTGAAATAAATTTATAATTTAAACAAACAAAGCTACAATCGAAGTCTTGTATGTACAATAAAGCGCAAAGTTTTAATTTATTCTCACAATAAGTCAACAACTGATTACATTATCACCATTTACTTTTTACACACAATTATTGTTTATAACTTAATTAGTCACGCGATGAACTGCTGCATTTTCTCCTTGATAAGCATTAAGGAGAAATTGATCTTAAAAAACTCTGTTTTGATCAATTTTTAGGAAACACGTTTACTAAAATATTTCATTTGAAGGTTTTACAAACGATCTATCACGTTCCCCGTCACTGAATAAAATTTTCAGCTCTTCGTATGAAACCACTGCCCGCCCACCTTGCGGATATTGTCACACCGCCTACGCTAGAGGGCGCCTTCAACTATGTTTGCCTAGGTCGCAGTCTCCACTCGAGACACGTCAGGGATAGACGTGCCTCGAGTGGAGATTACGCAATAAACATTAGCTCTTGGAAAAAAATAATAGATTGATATTTTATTGTCTGTTATTATTTTAAACGAGGTTTATTTATTCTATAATATGTAACTTGTGGTACAGTGATGCAGCAACGCTCATTATAAAATATTGCCATGAAAATTTAATGTTATTTATTGATAACAATTATAAAATAAATATTCTTAGGTATTTATTTATAAAAAATATATCCATTTCGTTTTTTGTTTCTTGTATTTTTTAATATTGAAATATTTTCGTGTTATAGTAATATATACCAGCATTTTATTATAATTCAAATTTACCCAATTAAGTATTTGCAGATTTTTAAGATTTGATGTTTTATCCAATCAAATAAGATTAATAAATATAACTTTATGCAAATTGAAACAAAAGATTCGAAGTGAACTTAGAAGGAAATATCGCCACAACTACGATAAAAATCGACGATAAATGTAATTAAAAGATGCAATAATTAAAAAACACGAATTTTTAACACAAATTAATTATACTAATCTTGATTAATTGTTTTCTGCGATTATATTTTAATATAATATCATGAGTGACGTGAACGGAAAACGAATAAGTCGATATTATGAGAACAAGGAATATGATATATTTTTTGCTATTTTTGTTTATGTCTTCTCTAAGTACGGAGGTACTAACGATGAAGGTTTTAATTGTTATTGTTTTAGAACTTTTATTTTGTCTGTTTTTTTTT